AAAGGAGGAGATGTAGCGGGTCGCTCTCCCGATGCAACAGCAGCAGCAGCAGCAGCAGCTGCTGCTGCTGCTGCTGCTGTTGCTGCTGCTGCTTCTGCAGCAGAGTTGTTCTTCCGTCTTCTACGGAATAATAAAATATTAAATTGTTTATTTAGTTATTTTTAATACAGCACGAAACAAAGAACGCCAAGCAGCAAAGCAAACAGTAGTGGGAACGTCTCCTCCCTCAGCAGCAGCAGCAGCAGCAGCAGCAGCAGCAGCAGCAGCAGCAATATGAGGGCTGCTGCCGAGGCAGCTGCTGCTGCTGTTGCGCTGTTTTCACTGGTTGTATTGATACTAACAAAGGCGAAGGAAGAGAACAGGGGCCCCCGAGGCTGCAGCAGCACGAGGGGCCCGGGGGCCCCCCTCTCGCCCCTATACACAGCACTGCAGCAGCAGCTCAGCAGCAAACAGAAATGTAATAAAAAACCTAAACCCCAACCCTAAACCCTAAACCCTAAACCCTAAAACCCTAAACCCTTCAGACAACAGAGACACAAACAATACCCGAAATAAACCCCACGCTAACTCCACTATATAATTAAAACAACAAAAAAATAAACAAATGCTGACGCAGCAACAAACTGCAGAAAGGGGGGAGACAGAAGGAGACAAAAGGAGACAGAAGGAGACAGTTGCTTAACCCCAGGATAAACGCATGCGTGGCTGGGACCAGCAGCAAGCAGCGGTGAAGCGCTCTTGCTGCTGCTGCTGCTGCTGTTGCTGCTGCTGTGCTTGTTACCTTTGCTGCTGCTGCTGCCGGGGGTTCTCTCTTGCATCTAACCCTAAACCCTAGTGGCTAGCTGGCTAGCTGATGGCTAGCTAGGTGTACAGACACCCCGAGTGTAGCTGTCTATACACCCTACAGCTTTGAGGGGGTTGTAGCGCGCTGCTGCAGCAGCAACAGCGGCTGCTGCTGCTGCTGCAGCAACTGCTACTACTGTAGTTGCTGCTGCTGCTGCTGCAGCAGAGAAAAACAACCATGGCCTCTGCCTGTGAACGGTTGCTGCAGCGATAGCTGGGGTGTATGTACACCTCATTGGTGCTTACGCAGAAAGAGAACAGCATTCAGCTTCATCAGTTTTTTCTTTTTTGTTTTTTGCAAATAAACTTTAATCTATTTGTTCGCCAAAATAAAATTAATCGCTAGATAGGCCACAATGGCTGCAGCAGCTGCAGCAGCAGCAGCAGCAGCAGCTGCTGCTGCTGCTGTTGCTGCTGCTGCTTTTGCAGCAGCAGCAGCAGCTGCTGCAGCTAGTGCTTCGGAACGGGCCTTAATGAAGAGCTGCTTCCAGCTGTTGCTGTTATCATTGATTCGGCCATTGTTGCTGCTGCTGTTGCTGCTGCTGCTGCTGCTGCTGCTGCTGCTGTTGCTGCTGCTGCTGCTTCAGCGGCTCCACCTCGTATTGAGAGGCTGTAGTTATGCCTTTGCTATGAACCTTTGGGGTGTACAGACACCGCATGGGGTGTACGTGCACTGCGTCAAGTGTGTACACCCTAAACCCTAAACCCTAAACCCTAAACCCTAATGAGTAAACACAAAACCAGGAGCCGTTCTGATGCTGATGAAGAAACAGAGACTCAACGAGACAACATACATACATACATACACAGTGCTGCAGCGAGAAGCAGCAAGAGATCCCCCGCTGCTGCTGCTGCTGCTGCTGCTGCTGCTGTTGCTGTTGTTACTGCTGCAGCTGCTGCTGGCGTTTTCACGTCATTCGATGGCCCCCAGCACGACATTGCAGCAGTCTACTTGCTGCTGCTGCTGCTGCTGTTGCTGCTGCTGCTGTTTTTTCTGCTGCTGCTGCTGCTGCAGCCACCTTTGGTGCTGCAGCGCAGAGTGTATATATATAGAGAAATATAGAGAAAGAGAGAACTAGAAGCTACGCAGCATATCGGCAAAGGTCCCCCCAGCACCGCTGATGAGAGAAGCTAAACCCCCCAAAATAAAAATCATAACACCGAGGAGAATACCAGTAGCAACAGGAAAGCCTAGAGTCATAAAGAGACCCGAAACAAGAAAGAATGTAGGGACAGCAACAAACAGAGACTGCAGCGCATTGTTTAGTTTTGTAGATAGAGAACGTTTCATCTCAGCTAAACCACCATATTCTACTTTACCTATAAGCTCTGTTTCTTTTGATATATTCGGGTGTACAGACACCGTAAACTGAAACTCTCCTTGTTTATTAAATAAAGACTGCAGAAAACTAACAAGACCCACAAACGCCACCGTCATCGCTGTTTGTTCAGCTAGGGTTAGAGGCCCCGATCGCCGCGTAAGTAAAAGATATAAAAATAAAAGTAAACCAGAACCTAATGTTTTCAATCCACTTAGTTTACGACGATGACGATCAAGTACAGGTACCTGCAGGTGACCTACACTGGTGCCGTCAGGGAGCCTCAGCTCTATCCTGCCCCCATCAAGAGAAGAGATGTCTGAAGCAATATCCTCAGCAGCTTCATCTTCTTGGGGTTCAGGGGGTAGAGGGATGGGAGAATCTGCTGCTGCTGTTGTTGTTGTTATGCCTGTTGCTGCTGCTGTTGCTGTTGCTGCTGCTGCTGTTGCTGTTGATTCCTTCTCTAACCCAGCAGAGTGGTAGTCGTGCTGCAGCTCAGCTTCGTCTCCTACTAAAGACTCAGGCTCCAGTAACGATGTCTCTGGGTTTTCTGTTGCTGCTGCCTCCCATCCACCGCCTGTTGCTGTTGCTGCTGCTGCTGCTGCTGCTGCTGCTGCTGCCCCCGACAGCACCAAAAGACAGAGGAGGACGCTGCACCTCCCCTTGTTTAAGCATGAACTGAGCATTGTTAATGTTTATTAAGAAATAAAAAACACAAGAGAGACACAAATATATAACACGTGCTGCAGCAGCACGGATACGATGCTAGTGCAAGCAGCAGCAGCTGAGTAACCCCAGCGAGGAGAGGCTGAGGCAGAAATATGCACAAGAGCAAGCCGTCTACGTTCAGACGGAAAAAAAGAAAATAAAGAAAATAAAAACTATTAAAATACAAGTTCATACGGGGGCAGACACCCGGCAAAAGAGATGCAGCAAAGACCCACGAAACTACCGCGTGGGGATCGTCTCCCCCGAGGACGCCTCGAGGCATGCATGAAGCTGCTGGTTTCTTTTGTCTGCAACTAGCAGCAGCAACCCTGTCTCTCTTTTATTCTCTTAAACTATATTTATATTAAAAGGAAAAACAATAGACACGTCTCAGACCTTACCCCCTCGATGACGCAATCGCTGCAAGACTCGCTGTCCCCAACTCTCGTGCTGCAGTTAACTCCGTGCTGCTGCAGCAGCAACTGCAGCAGCAGTTGCTGGCGCTCCCGTGTGTGTGTGCGTGTACATGTATGTGTGTGTGTGTCTATGTGTGTGTGTCTGCGCGTATGTATGTGTGTGCGCGTGTAAGGATGTATGAGTGTGTGTGTGTGTGAATGTATCTGTGTGTGCTTTTGTATGTTTGTATGCGTCTGTCTGTGCATGCAAACTTCATGGGGCTGAAATTTGATCGCATCAGTGAGACATAGCTAGATCCGCGCTGTGCAGGCTGAGAAAGCCAAACCACCATGCCGACGTACGCTCCATAGAGCAAGCTCGGTCTGTCTGAAGCTGCTGTAGATCTCTTTACTGGCCTCTAGGCTGGATACTGAAGGTAAAGCAAGTGTATAACCCAACTGTATTCGGACTTAGTGCATGCATCGAGAGGGGGCTTGAGTATACGATATACTTGCATGTGTTGTTGCTCTGCGACGGCTGCTGTGGTGTAATGCTTGTAGCATTCTCCGTCTAAAGATTGTATATTTCTGCTTGTATGAGAGCTGGCAACTAAGGGCATGCTAAATGCCGTGCAGTTGCCTGTTGTGTTAGCGCATATGTGGAGGCGAGGTTGGGTGCGTTTGCATGTGAGGTTGCCTTGTAGCGGGAATTGCTGTAAGCTGTCCTGCATCCCCGGGCAGAGAGCCTCTGTGAAAACAGCCTTCGGTCTTATTTGAGGGCGACCTTGATCTGCAATGGACTCAAAGTATTTAATATACGCGCTTCCAAAAAGCAACGGATCGCCCATCGAGTCCCCACGCGACCGGCGCTGGGTAGCCCGATGGCCTGGGCGGGAAGGCAGGCGTTGCAACGCACCTAGGTTCAACTAATGCTTCATATTGACCCCACGTACGAACGTAAACGATCCTTCTTTTGTACGTGCACATACACTGTAGATACCTGTTCGCCGCTCGCTTGGCCCGTGCTGGAGCCTGCGCACAAGTAGAGCCTCCTCCTAACGCAGCCCGTGCCGGTCTACCCAGAACCCTTGCGGACAGGGAAGATGCCAGCATTTCTTTTTTTAAGACAATATTAACCGAAGACTGTCGTAAGCTGCAGTCGAGTCAAAATACTTCAGATAAGGTTGGACCCTCTCTACGCTTCGTCATACGATTGCACTCCCGCCTACATCTGCTCTGCCTGGTCCAAAGCATTGATAAGCAGCGAAGGCGCCTTGCATATGGAACTGGTGAGATATTGTATGTTTTGTCTTTGGCCCAAGTTGAGCCAATTTCTTCTCTTATATGGCAGATGCTGAACAGGATCGCTTCTGTTTGGAGGTGACCAATGGATGGAAGGCTCGTTTCATTCTAACGAACGCAGAATATGCATCCAATCTATCGGAAAATGTCTGTATGGCCAACGCCATTCATAAACGATGCTGCCACCTTCGCTTACCGTACAGATTTCAAGTTTTCTTTTGGATGTGCAACTTTACACATACGATGCACCCCAAGAGCTACAGTTCCCCTTGCCTTTCTCCTTATTAGACGAGGAGATATGACAATGATGTATATATCTAATTCAGCATACCACTTTTCCGGAGAGCCCCTCCGCTATGGAAGCTTTCTGAGATAAGCTGCTTTATGGGTGGGCTCAAAATGCACGATCGTTCTTTAGCTCGGCCTGGTGGGTTCAACACAGCAGTGGAGCGAACAGCTAAGTCCCTTTGGTGGCCTGCAATGGGTCCCTCACCGGATCAATATCCCCTCACGGGTCCAAAGTGGCAGCAGCAGAAGCAGCGGCAGCGGAACAGCACCAATTGCTCTTGCAAACTATTGCGATCCCCGAATGGATCTCCAAAGATATCCCAATGCATTCCATGTTGTGAGTTAATCATCAATCACAGCCTGCAACAATCTCTACGTCGCTATGGGTAGCCTCAGCAAATACGCCAATTCATCCCCTGTCCGAGTTCAGTTACAGCTAGTCTCTGTCAATAATGTTGCTTTTCAGAAAGCCGTGAAGTTCCTGGCATGCTAAAGGAGTAACTGTGCCGTTCGTTTGGAGTTTCGATAGCGGCTTCTGGTACGAATTTATACGGCGGCTGGATAGCGATAACCACATAACCGCCGCGAACCATCCGGGGGCAGGCGGTCAAACAAAGCGCAACAACATTTCGCCGGCGGTGGATCTGCGGCACTGCACCAGGCAAAATTCGTCAAAATGGTCTTGCTGTTATGGCAAAGCGTGCATCCTTTTACCCGCAGTTCTGCTTGCTCGATGTACGGTGTAATACCGTTGGCTGACCCGGCATGCCTGGTACAATCTCGAACTGGTGTAAGTTATGTATGGCAGGCAACAGCTGCAGCCCTAAGTGGTTGAAGGTTGCATACGAACTCCAGGCAAGGAAGCAAAGAAGCCGGGCCTCGGATGTTGCGCTTAACCCAGGCTTCCTGGATGTAGTGGATTTTCACGTTATGCGGACGGCACAGGAGAATGACCTCGGAAAGACGTTCGCCATAAGCTGGGTGGACCCTGTTGCTGTTCATTTCCAAGGCAACAAGGTAAACTGTCAGTCTGCAGCTAATCTGAAGATGGCACAGTACCAATAATGTTGGTTATCTAAAACACTTGAAGGAACCGCCGATTTTTTTTCGAAATCTCCATACAAAACGGTAGCAACGCCGGAATGCAGCGACTAAAGGAGACTGGCCCCATGAGCATATGTGCCACGATAAGGAGAGGTCACAAACACCAAGAATATTACTTTAAGAGATATTAATTGGGGTTGCCGTTTTCCTGTCATGAGAACCACTTCTGTGAAGCTATTCTTTAGAGGGATCTTATTCAGTGGCTGACTCTGCAGCTGCGACAATAAATGAGGGCCAGCAAAGCGCAGCGAAATGCCCTCCACGAATAACCTTTATTTTGCAATTCCCCTGCCATCTGCAGAGGCAGAGCCAAATCTTTCCACTGGATTGGGATGCGCGCATTGAACAGCCGCTCATGATCCAGGCGTAAGGCAAAGAGCCTCATAATGCCCCGAGGCAGGCCCAAGCTATCGCAGTTCCCTCGGTGAGAAGCAGCAGCAACAAAGAGAAACAACAGCGGAGCAAGTAGCTAGCTGGCCATTCGTGCTTTCGCTGGGAGATTTCGTGGCTGCGCCTTGCCTCAGTTGTCCTTCTCTGCACGCACCAGAGACCTTTCTCTCCCTCACCGAATCTGACGACTCATTCGACACCAGCACGCCCGCACGAACGCCTGTCACACCGTAATCAACAAATCAGCTTTGCCTATTTTCAGCTTCCACGGCAATTATCCAAAACGATCCAAGATGTTTCAATTCGCTTCCCATGCTTTCTGAACAGCCGTTTCCAAACGGAAATCCGCAAAACGACGAGGAAAGAATGTTTTGCGGACAGTACAGGGCTGTTCCGGGAATTGAACCCGGGACCTCTC